TTTGTCTCTGCATGAACTGTGCTGTATGCATGCAGTGTACGATGAAAATGAGATATCAACATTGGTCAGGTCAACCCCTGCCTTCTTATCCYCAAGTGACAAGTGTCCCCATGCATTAAATGTTGAAGGCAGTATATAAAGGCAGTGTGCATCTCCCATGCACACACCTTGGTTTTTAAAAGATTACTCTGTGCACTCTCAAAGCAATCGGCTATTTCCTCCTACTCCCTTGCTCTCCTGTGTGTGAAGAGATTCTTAGTGTTCTTYATTTCCTTTCAAGAACTCTCTGTGTTGTTCTTGAAAGTTCTTCTCTTTGTAAGATTGTTTAGGTTAGGTTTTCCTTTCCTATCTTCCGCAACAATCTTTTGTATTTCTGTGTGTATTAATTCTTGATATAAATCAATAAGAATTAAAAAGTAGAAAAAATCTGTGTAATTGTATTCAACCCCCCTTCTACAATTCCTTTCTGTTTATTGCCTTACCCTTCGGGACTAACATTAACATATCACTATGTTGCAAGTGTATGTTACGATGGTTCCGTTTGACTCGAACATAATAATTTAAAGACGAGCCTATCAAAATGATTGATGTTATTAAGCTCAACTCATTAAGTTAAATGAGCTTTATTTTGTGTTCGAGTTCGACCTGTGCTTCAGAATTACGAAGCTCAAGCTTAATTAGCTCGTTAAATACTTAGATTCGTTAAACATGCCTGGGAATTACAGTGGATGGTACCAAGCAGTGGTGGGTTTTATAAGACAACTTGCGTATGCCAAATACGTTTTTTTCTATTTATCAGTTAACATGCCTAACCGTCATTGTATTTACGTTCTCGTGAATGTTTTTTATTTATTGTCAAAGATTTAAGAAGCATATATGGGACTTATAGCGCTGATTTATTGTGGAGTTGTAGCTTACCCACATCGCAATATGAATGCAACTGTGGATGTAGAAGCAGATGCATAAAGAAGGTGCTTAACAAGGTTTCAAGATCACGCAGCCATGCAATGAACACAAAGCGAACTATTCTTTCGCCTTTTACTAAAGAATACCATGTGTTCGTTCTATCAAGTGGCATACGCTTATTTTTGGAGAGGTCTTTCTTTTTGTGAATACCTCCTACAATTTACAGTTTTAGAAAACATTGCTTATTGTTTCATATCTAACTGAGCTCCTTTATCAATCTGTGCTGCTAAACCGATCCATGTACTATTAATCAAGTCCATGTTTGCTAGACTTTGAAGCCAACCTGAATGGTTACTCTTACTGCTCTTCTTAGGTAGATTGGAAAAAGATGTGAATGAAAGGTCCCACTAAATCAAATTGTCTTCAATAAAATTCAACATTGTCACTTACTTACCAGGTAAGATTTTAGTAAACAAAAATGGCATTGTATGCAACTATTTACCCGGTAAGCGCTATGGTAAGAGTCCTCACCCTCACTTACCGGGTAAAACTCTTGGTCCTTGTCTCGCTTTTATCGGGTAAGATTCTTGGTCCTTACCATATTCATCCGGTAAGGTAATGTGACTTGTTAAGCGTTTACCCATATAAGCGTTTGATAAATGGCCCCTAAGATAAGCTTTAGGCTTGTTTACTTTCTAGGTATCTTGTTAGGGTGTATTAGCTCTCCATTTCATCCCACATTGGTGTCAGAATGAGATATGAAGTCAGAGCAAAGGTTATTTAAGAAGGGTGTGGTCGAAATTTTTACATACTTACCTGGGCGAGATCAATAGGTGATCAAGAAGGTCTATGGTCTAGGTTGGTGACTTCCATTGCACTTTGGAAAGGTGCCCGCCTAAGGTCGACCCAAGTGGTCGAGCCTATGTCATAATTTGTGATAGTGGAGTCTTGTGTTCGCGGGGTCTCTTCCTAACTTCCAGCTTTCCAATCCTTCTTGTTGACATTAATTTTTCTTCATTTTATATCCAAAAATGCAATACTTATTTTTATTCTTTGGTCGTTGAATATGATCACACCCTGAGATGAACTAGAATGAGCTCCATTCTGTGTTCAAGTTCGGCTTGTGCTTCAGAATTACGAAGCTTGAGCTTAGTTAGCTCGTTAAATACTTAGATTCGTTAAACATGCCTGGGAATTACAGTGGATGGTATCAAAGCAGTGGTGGGTTTTATAGACCAATCACGTATGCAAAATTCGTTTTTTTTCTATTGATTAGTTAACATGCCTAACCGTCACTTTATTTACGTTCTCGTGATTGTTGTCTATTTTATTGTCAAAGATTTAAGACAATATGGAACTCATAATTCCCTAGTAAATTACATATATGGAAAGGTCAGTGGCATGAGATAATCACACTGGTTAGTTAGCAGCACAGTTAATCAAGTATGCATAAATTTCTTGTAGTTAAGTGCACCATAACTGAATCAAGTAGAAATGGATTTTTGTTTATGCTACAATTAAATATGTTAAGGCCTGCAACATACAAGTGGAGGACATGTAATAGATCTAGGCTATTGTTACCTAATGAGTTGTATGATTTGGTTAGCAGCACACATACATGAATCAAGTCATTATTCCATCATAAACAGTTGCTTAATCTCCATTGTGTATCTTGTGGGAATTATGAGAATTCCATCATAAACTTCATGAAGTTGCTAGGGGAGAAGAAGGAAGAGAAGACATAAATATAGTTGCTAATATGTCTTGACTCTAATGTAGAAGCTAAGACCTACACTACAGCTTTTTAGATGCAAAACTGGTAGAAGTAAATCTTGCTATTAGATAGAAAAGGAGTGGGAAAATCTCAAATAGGATGCAAAAAACAGTCAATTAAAGGTAATACCATCAGGTAGCAGTTAATCATGAATGGCTAAGGAGCAATGAAACCAAAATAATCACAGGAGATCGGATAACTTGCATCGTGGAACCAATGAAACCAAAATTATCACAACAGAGACATGGAACCTATGAGACCAAAAATAATCATAAAGATAAGAGAGATGAAAGTAAAAATAATCACAATAGACTGGATTTTGCAAGTCGAGAGATCTTACCTGTTGAATCGATGGTAGGTTCGAACCAGGGGTCATCGCTAGGTTTCCAACAGTGCGCCGGTGCGATTTCAGCAGATGATGAGTCGCTGGTTTCCAAGTGATGTTGCAGCGGTGGTATTCAACAATCGATCGAGAGGATAGAGTAGAGAAGAATGGGAGAATCGATAGGGAGGAGTGTAGAGACGAAGCGGAAGAGGCAAGGAGGCAAACGTGGGAAAATTGCATATCTGAATTTGGGAGCAATTCATCGTCAATTCATTCCCACCTTTTTCAAAATCGATTGGGTATTTTATATACGTTTTTTAAGGTTCCATTAAGAGGCAATCTTTAAATCATAAAAGTGAATTTTATTTGGCAAAAGAAAAAAAAAATTGCCTTCTGAATAGCTTTATATCATGGATCTCCTTTAACTATTAAGAGCCTTAATTTTAGTGTACACAATTATCAAACAATTATATTTCATTTTATGTTATATTATAAGAGTCTTTTTAATCATTATGCACCAAACTATTCAGCAATTGTCAAACAGCCCCAAAATGTCTTACTGAATGAGACAGTTACTTCTTAATGGTATCAATAAAGTGGTAAACAAACAGTCCCTAAGTGCTTACGGGAAAAATTCAACATTATCATTTACTTATCGAATAAAATTTTAGTCCAACAAAAAGGTATGTATACCACAAATTATCCGGTAAGCGTTAACCGTGATAAAAATCGCGGCCCTCATTTACTGGGTAAAACTCTCGTTTCTTGCATTCGCTTTTTACCAGATAAGATTCTTGATCTTTGTTATATTCATCCGGTAAGATAAATTATAAAAAATATAATAAAAAGTCTATTTTGGTCGTTTAACGTTATTTCATTCCAATTTCAAAATTACATTCTGCTAACCAACGACGATAGATTTTAAGATTTTAATAGATTCTATCACAATTCATGTCAACAAATTGGATGGTTAAACTTCATTATAATACTTCTAAAGATTTGATTCCTTCAAACAAACATTCTCTAAAACAAACGTCCCTTTATAAATAACTATTAAAATAAATGAATTACCTTCTAATAATTAATTATTACAAATCGAATGTTTTTGACGTTTTCTAAATTATTGTTACAAACAAATGCAGTGAAATACCAACTATCTCATGAGATTTCTAAATACAATGTTTATACGATTTCATTGAACTTCAAGTGATTTCAAGTCCAAATCCCGAAAACCAAACTGGGCCTAAGAGAATGTTTGGTTGAGACGGATGGGAAACGGGAATTAGAATGAAACGTTATCTCTACTTGTTTGTGTGTAAATTTGGCAACCTTTTCTCATCTTTGCGATATGAATTTAGATATTGCAACAACTTTGGTATGTTTTTCTTGTTTTCATATTACAATTTGTGAAAGTTGTTTGTTTGGTTAACTGTGAGTTTCTACATCAGCTACGCACCTACTAATTCTACAAGAATGGCCTGGTGTAGATGAGATTTTTCATTACATCCCCTAAATCTTAACCAGTACGTCACAACCCAAGTTGAAATTGTTCCTATTAGAAACAAAGATTTATCTATAATTTTAAAACTAGGAAAATGAAACTACCACTTATTTAATTGGTTTATGAGTGTGAAATGAAGTGCAGAAGATGAAAATGATCCTAAAAAACTAGAAATTTGAAGTATCTTTTTAAACTCTTCAATTAGCATTGATTTATTGTGGACCTGCATCGTTCCCACATCGGAGTGTTTGTGTAAATCTGGAGGCAGAAGCAGATCCATAAAGAAGGTCCTCAGCAAGGTTATAGAATCACGCAGCCATGCAATGAACACAAAGCGAACTATTCTTTCGCCTTTTACTAAAGAATACCGTGTATTCGTTGTATAAAGTGGCATACGCCTATTTTTGGAGAGGTTTTTCTTTTTGTGAATACCTTCTACAATTTATAGTCTTTAAGTTTTTTAAAAAACGTTTTTCGTTACGTAGTGTTTTTCATTCAGACTTGCAATGACCGACTAACCAAAACCCACCTAATAAAAAACTAGAACTTACTCTATTTTGATAGATCATTCAGACTTGCAATGATCGACTAACCAAAACCCACCTAATAAAAAACTAGAACTTACTCTATTTTGATAGATCAAACTAGCTAGGATCGCTTGTGTTGCCTGATTGGTTTGTGCTTGGCTCTAAAAATCAAAAGTATCAGAAGATCGCTCTGGGATTAGTCGACTCGCATTGCGGGTTGGATATCCAGGTTAATAAAAAAAATTGAGTCAAATAATTTAAGAAATGGTGAGAATTTCAGATCCACATATAAGTTAACCTTTAGGGTGTGTAAGCTCTCCATTTCATCCCACATTGGTGTCAGAATAAGGTATGAAGTTGGAGCAAAGGTTATTTAAGAAGGGTGTGGTCGAAGTTTTTACATACTTACCTGGACGGGATCAATGGGTGATCAAAAAGGCCTATGGTCTAGGTTGGTGACCTCCATTGCACTTTGGAGGGGTGCCCGTCTAAGGTCGGCCCAAGTGGTCGAGCCTACGTCGTAATTTGTGACAGCGTAGGCCTGCGTTCGCGCGGCCTCTACCTATTTTTCTAGTTTTCAATCTTTTCTTGTATACAATTATTTCCTTCATTTTATATCCCAAAATGTAATTTTTTTATTCTAATGTTGTTGAATATGATCACACACTCTGATGACTAGGGTAGTAATATGAATGTTATGAGTTGGGTTGTGCCGGGTGGGTCTGAGTGGGCAAACCAAAAATCCAAGCAGAATTTGGATTTGTTCCGGTTGAGGTTAGTCGGAATTTGGATTTGTCCCGGTTGAGGTTAGTCGGGTTTGGGTATAGTTATAATGCAAAAAGTATATATTCAATCCATTGAGAAAATTGATGAAATTGATAGTAGGTTTTGAAATTAGAAATGAATACAATTTGACTAAGATATAGGATTTTTAGAAGATAATTAGATATATATATATATATATATATATATATATATATATATATATATAAACGTATCTATATTTCAGGTTTTTTGGATGGATCGTATGGCCAAAAATCAAACTCAATCCAAACCCAAAAGTCAGGATTCGGATCTTCGAATTTCAGGGCATTCGGGTTCTAGACAAACATCTTATCTTGGGTCATGTTAGTGTTCGGATTTCGAATCATTCTGGTTTTGCACACCCCTGTATATATCAGACTTTAACTCAATTAATTTTTCCAAAACAATGTTGAAACTCGAATATTTTTTCATTGTTCGAGGTAGTAGCAACGAGTTTTTCTTTTATATTTTGATTCAACTTATTAAGATATCACCATGTTAAAAGTGTATGTTGGGATGGCTCAGTTTGACTTGATATAATAATTTAGAGACAGCCTATCAAATGATTGATGTTACTAAGCTCAACTCATTAGGTTAAACGAGCTTTATTCTATGTTTGAGTGGATGATATCAAGCAGTGGTGGGTTTTATAGACCAATCGTGTATGCAAAATTCGTTTTTTTTATATTGATTAGTTAACATGCCTAACCGTCATTTTATTTACGTTCTCGTGAATGCTGTCTTTTTTATCATCAAAGATTTAAGAAGGATATATGGGACTTATAACGCTGATTCATTATGGACTTGTAGCTTACCCACATCGCAATATGTATGCAACTGTGGAGGTAGAAGCAGATGCATAAAGAAGGTGCTTAACAAGGTTCTAAACTCACGCAGCCATGCAATGAACACAAAGCGAACTATTCTTTCGCCTTTTACTAAAGAATACCGTGTGTTCGTTGTATCAAGTGGCATACGCTTATTTTTGGAGARGTYTTTCTTTTTGTGAATACCTCCTACAATTTGTAGTTATTAAGATATTTTAAATAACGGTTTTCAACATACAAGTCTTTTTCGTTCATAGTTGTGATAACGAACTAACCAAAACTCGCCCGATATAAAGCTACATTTTTAGTCGATAATGAACTTACTTTATTTCGATAGATCAAACCAGCTATGATCGCTTGCTCTGTCCCTGGTTTCTTACTTTCTTCAATTTGCTGTGAAATCCCGCTTCACGTCCACATTTGCTAGACATCGTAGGCAAGTTGAACGGTTACTCTTACTCCTCTTCTAAGGTAGATTGGAAAAAGATGTGAATGGAAGATCTCAGTAAATCAAATTGAGTCCAATAACTTCACGTCCACATTTGCTAGACATCGTAGGCAAGCTGAACTCACTGTTGGCATGGAGGTCTCCTTCAGCTGATTAATCGTGAATGGAACTGACAAGGTTCTAATCAGGACAGTTGACTTTTTTACTGTCAAAGGTTTAAGAAGGATATATGGGACTCATAGCACTGATTTATTGTGAACTTGTAGCTTACCCACATCGCAATATGAATGCAACTGTGGAGGTAGAAGCAGATGCATAAAGAAGGTGCTTAACAAGGTTTCAAAATCACGCAGCCATGCAATGAACACAAAGCGAACTATTCTTTCGCCTTTTACTAAAGAATACTGTGTGTTCGTTGTATCAAGTGGCATACGCCGATTTTTGGAGAGGTCTTCCTTTTTGTGAATACCTCCTGCAATTTACAGTTTCAATTAATTATGGTTTTAGAAAACGTTTCTTATTGTTTCCTATCTAACTGAGCTCCTAATTTTATCTGTACTGCTAAACCGATCCATATACCACTAATCAAGTCTTCAGTCATTCGTTGCAACATTGGCAGGGTTTTATGTTTGGATTCGCAACGACTAACAAAAATATGCTCAGAAAAAAAGCACCTTTGTTCACCATGATTGTGAACTTTAGGGTCGTTTAGAAAATGCTTATCGACAAAAGTTATCACGTGGATTGTGGTAAGCGTCTTTCATTGACAAAAGTTATCACGGGTAACATTCTTACCCGGTAAGTAAATGATAATGTTGAATTTTTCCAATTAGCATTTGGTAAACAACCCCTTAGTCATGTTTTCAGACGAGCCTATCAAATGATTGGTGTTACAAAGCTCAATTCTTTAAGTTATACAAGTTCTATCTTATGTTCAACTCGAGCTCAGATAGCTCGTTAAACACTCGATTCCTTAACATGCCCAAGAATTACAGTGAACGGTATCATGAAGTGGTGGGATTTATAGACCAATCGAGTACGCAAATATTTTTTTCAATTGATTTTAAAAACACACCTAACCGTCATTTTATTTACGTTCTCGTGAACGTTTTTTTATCGGCGATAAAATTTTGAAGGATCTATGGGACTTGCAGCTTACCCATATTTCAATATGAAGGCAAATGCCAGTTAAAAACATATGCATAAAAAAGGCCCTCAACTTGGTTCCAGAATCACGGAGCCATGCAATAAACGCAAAGCAAACTATTCTTTCGCCTTTGCTAAAGAATATTGTCTGCTCGTCGAATAAAGTGGCATACGCCAGTTTTTTAAGAGGGGTTACTTTTTGTGAACGCTTCCTACAATTACGGTATTTTAATTTTGAAATACATTTCTTATGCATAATACTCCCTTTGTTTTAAAATAAATGTGTACAATGCTGATGATATACAGTTTTAGAAATGTGTAGTTATTATACTTTTTAAATAACTAATTGACACTTTTATTCTTGATAATAGAGAGAGAAACTTTCTCCATCGATAGAATGGAAAAGTAGAATTTGAAACTGGACAGTTATTTTAGGACAAACTAAAATTAAAATGTGGAAATTTAATTTCTGACGGAGGGAGTATGTCTTTTTAGTCTTGTATATTGTTGATTATTATGAAAATAGAGAAGTAAGATGTCCAAAATAAAGAAACAAAAGTTATAAGTTGTTTAAAAAAAGTTACACCCAACTCCAACAGATATTTTATTTTGGAGATTTCTACATTACCATTGCTATTAGAACATTCTATAAATCTCATTATCCCAATACACTAAAAAAGGTTGATTATATTCGTATTTCTCAGCAACTACCTATGGCTCTTGGTGGGCCTAGACAACGTCACGGGAATCCCTTCCCTAGTAAAGAGGTACTGACCATCGGTTTTCTCGTGTCCCGGTGAACGATAGCCTCGGATATAATTTTTTTCTTTTGATTTTGATGGCTTTATTTCCACTTTTCCGGTCATTCTAGATACAATTTTAAAGGTCTTTTGCCTGATAAAAGAATCCCCGACTTTTTGATCAATGGCTATCTCTGGTTGCTTCTTTGGCAGGTTTATTGATAGATTTTAATCATTTTTTCCCAGATGTGTTGATGTTCTCTATATGAGTGGTATGTGAATGGATAAGGGTATGAACCGGAAGATACTTTAAAGATTTTTTACATAGTTGTTGGAGCAAAATAATTTCTCTTGTTGTAAATTTAGAGACTTGTAACTTCTTCTTGTTTTACTATTTAGAGAACATTTTTACATATCTCTCGGAGCAAAATGATTTCCAAAATATATATCGAGTAACGGTTGGAGATGCTCTTAGAGGGTGTAGAAGATCCATTTCATCCCACATTGATGTCAAAATGAAACATGAAAGCACAACAACGGTTATTTAAGAAGGGTGTTGTCAAATTTTTTACTTACTTACCTGGACGGGATCAATGGGTGATCAAAAAGGCTCATGGTCTAGGTTGATGACCTCCATTGCACTTAGGAGGGGTGTCCGCCTAAGGTCGGCCCAAGTGGTCGAGCCTACGTCATAATTTGTCAGTGGGGGATTGTGTTCGCGCAGCCCCTTCCTAATTTAAGTCTCTAACAACTATCTCCTTTAATCCCATCTACTGTCCTTACATATAAGGTAGATTATAAAAATTCTCTCTTCCCTTCACTTCTTTCTCTTGATTTTTAATCCTGTAGCTGAGGACTGATGATGAAGATACTTTTGGATTTGTGTATTTGTTTTCTTCTGAACTTGGCTTATTATGACTCAGAAGTGGTGTTGAGGTTGTACTTTGACTTGTGGTAGTCGGTTTTGGTTCGCGTTGTTGCATTGCTTGCGCAGCAGCGTACTTTTTTAAGCCTTCGAAGACGGAGAATGCCGGTTGCGATTGACTGGTTGCAGATGGTGGTGGAGGTACTATTATGGGTATGCTCAACAACTTGTTCACGTTCGGTCTTTTAATAACTGAATCAATGGAAAATAAGATGTTAATTACACAAATGAGAGATGGGTGTGCATATAAATCCTCAAATTCCGTCTTTTATTGGTCTAAAACTACAAATAGAAAGAAACAACTAAAGGGTCTGTTTGCAGTAAGGGGAACTGTAAGAGCAGCAAAACCCTTTGAAACATTTTTCAATGTGCCAGCAGCGGGATTACCTTCCAAAACTTCTTACAGTTGCATGTTAAAAGGTTGAGCATTTCTACTTCAATTTAGAAGAACTCAACCTCAACCGGCAACATTTTAATAAACAAAAACTGGGAGCACATAAATGAAGACCTTCCTTAGCCTTCTATTTACATCAAAAATCATATGAACAAACTGGTATGGTGTTACAATATAGCTTTTGGTTATGATTGGAACTGACAAGGTTTAAGAAGGATATGTGGGACTCATAGCACTGATTTATTGTGGACTTGTAGCTTACCCACATCGCAATATTAAGGCAACTCTGGAGATAGAAGCAGATGCATAAAGAAGGTGCTTAACAAGGTTCAAAAATCACGCAGCCATGCAATGAACACAAAGCGAACTATTCTTTCGCCTTTTACTAAAGAATACCGTGTGTTCGTTGTATAAAGTGGCATACGCTTATT